GCTGGGAAAGGGGATTCAGTTGCTGAACGTGCTCCTGCACAGCCCCGGCGCTTCTCCCAGCGCCAAGGACAACCAGCCGCTTGCTCTTTCTGGCTGACACAGAGCAATGACAGACGCCAACTGTTCTTGTTTTTCCAGCTCTTTTTTTTTTTTGCTCTGTCCTTCCCTGAATCCCCTTCCACCCTCCGTGTATTTCTCCAGAGGTGGAAGCACAGGGTCTCCTTTCCTCCCAGGCGCCTGGATTATGCCTGGGGTAGGTTTGTGCTGCTGGAGAAGGGGTTTGTGACTGTAGGAATGCAGCGGTGTCTGCTGCCTGTGCCGCACTGAGCTGCTCTGAGGGGCTGCCCCTCTTCCCTGGGAAATCTCCAATCCACAGGCCACGAGACTGTGTCTGGGTGTTGGTTTCTGCCCACTTTGCAAACTCCAGAGGGGACGGAGTCAGCCCGGACTCTCTCTGCTCTCGCAGCGCATCTTCTTCACCTCTTTTTCCCCTTCTTCCACCCTAAACGGTGACTTTTCCCTCCCAAAGGGTGCTCCTGCAGTCTGGGACTGATTTATACCAGTAAACCCTGCACGATGCCTCCCATCACGTTCCAGGACCTGCCGCTGAACATCTACATGGTCATTTTTGGCACCGGCATCTTTGTCTTTGTGCTCAGCCTCATCTTCTGCTGCTACTTCATCAGGTGAGCTGGAGGGGGCTGTGGTGGGGGGGCAGCATCCCTGCGGCATCCCCAGCCCTTCCCAGAGCCCCCTTGTTTTGTCCCATAACACGGGTGCCGCTCACCGCAAGGATCTGCCCCGAGGAGCGGGTCTGGCCGGCCGCCGTGCTCAAGCCAGACCTGGTCATGGTCCCCAGCAGCTGGAGCAGAGCAGGAAACGCAGGAAGGGGCTCTTGTTTTTCAGGGGACCATGCAGAGGGATGCATTGTGTCTGGCAGGGAAGGAGCAGTGCTGCACCGGAGAGGATGTGTCTTTATACTCCCTGTTCAGGGAGGGCTATTTTTAAACCCAAAGCCAAGGCAGCAGCTGGTGTTTCTGCAGGGCCCGGGTGGCTCAGTCCTTCCCTGCAGAATACCCTGGCTCCACGGATGTCCCAGGCATCTCTCAGCCATTTTGGGGACCGTAGAAGCACGTCTCGGTACCTCGGTTGGAGGAGAAGCTCCACTGCGAGCAATCCCCTTCCCTCCATGCCTTGCTGGGTTTCTCTGTCAGGCCCTTGCCCCAGCCAAGGTCACGGCAGGGCTG